TTCGGACAACAGTGCCTTGTGGTATAAGCGAGGGTGGGTGTTTGTTAGATCCCTATGAGAGTTTTCAGGAATGGAATTTATTGTTGATTTTATTTGTTTTTTGGGGGTGTGTTTAAGGGTTGTTAAAAGAGCCTCATTAAATAGTTGTGGGAGAAATAGAAGTGGACAATAGCCAGTATGAGGAGTTTGGTAATGATCCAAAAGAATATTTAATTATTTTTACACTTATTTAGTTTTCTTAAAAGTAATTGAACAATAAGTCTTTGAATTCAAAACTACTTAGATCAATATCTAATTGTACTCATATTCCATCTCATTTTTGGCTTTCGAGTGGCAATTCATTCAGCAGTATCTTGCTCATTAAGCATCATCAACTTTGAATTGAATTTTCTTCGAAACTGGTGCATCCATTAGTTTTGTTATTTGAATGACCAAACCATATTAGACAAACTTTCCACATTTAACTACCAACTGGGGTGGCCACGCTGGAGAGCGCATCATTTTTCATATTTATTGTTAGCAGATCAACTTTTGTTCTATAACATAGCTGACCTGTAATTGGTGTGATAAAAAAAAATTGTGCATTGAGTCAAATCTGAAGTTTTAACAGGTTATGCTCTCTTTACATTTTTGTTTGGAAATAAATTGATTTTAGTAAGCCCTTTTGCTTGTTTATGAAAATATGTTGGCAAAAAAATTAGAGAGGTGATGTAACCCAAATATAGAAGGTGATGCGACTCCCTAAATAAGATAAAAAAAACAATAAGTATGCTATTTAGGTTGTTCCCAAAACAATCTCAGCACAAGTGCCATCAACTTTTGTTTATGTTTTAGCCTTCTCCATTCCTATGTTCTTCTTCCCTTTTTTAAGTTAGGTTGTATCATCTTTTATGGTTAGGAATTTTATACTTTTAGCTTTAATGTCCAAAAACCTCCAACAAGTCTAAGAATTTTGTTTGTTAGTCATATTTTCTCGTCTTCTTACATTTTTTTTTGTGCTCTTGGACACTACATGTGAGCAATGGAACAATTTCATTCTTTGGCATGTTCAGTGATTGATTAGGAAAGAACCAAAGGAAAAAAGGGAAAGAAAATTTGTCTGGACCTGATTAGGAAGATGTTAGAAATTTAATGTACTATAAAGAGAAATAAAGAATTGTAATTATTGATTCATGTAATTGATGTGTTGATTTTGTTTATATTACAATTGATTCATGATTCCTAATATAGAAGAGGGGTAAGTGTTGTAGTGGGTAGAAGAGTTGAAGTGGAGGCTGGTAGTGGTGTAGTGGGTTAGGTTTAGTGGAGAAGGTGAGGTAGGTAGTGAGTAGTGGGGTTAGGTTTTAGTGGAGTAGGTTTAAGGTGAGTGGGTCTAGGTTTTAGTGGAGATAGGTTTAGGTGGGCTGAAGTACGGTGATAAATTTTTAGTGGAGTAGTTTAGTGGGTTAGGTTTAGTGGAGTAGGTTTAGTGGGTTAGCGTTTTAGTGGGAGTAGGTTTAGGTAGGGTGAAAGTAGTCGTGAAAATTTTAACAGGCCCCCCGCAAACTCAAGGGGGATCAGAACTAGCCAACTTGAGTTTTGGAGAGAGTTACAAAACAAGAAAATACATAAAAAAAAAAAAAAAAAAAGATAGGGGAGACACTATCATGGTCTGTAGACCGTTGGTTGAAGACACGGTATGTAGGTTCATTAACGGATGTTAGAGGACACTGGATAGGTGGTGTCATAACGATTGTAGTGACAACTGCTAAAGTATGGGGTGTCCATAACGTGGTAGAGACCATGTATTGGTACGGTGTCAGACCGATGTAGAAGACATGTTTATAGGTTCATGTCGGACCGTTGATAGAAGACATGTTTATGGGTCATGTCGGACCGTTGTAGCAGACAAATGTTTGTGACATGTTGTTGTGACAGTTTTACGGGTCTTGTTCGGCCCTTGTAGAAAACTAACCGGAATCAATCGTCGGGACAGTTTGACAGAGTCTTGTCGGAACCCTTTTTAGAAACGACCGGAATCTATGTCAGGGACAGTTTACAAGTCTTTCGGACCCAAAAGGAGTACGGATCAATGTCGCGTGACAAGTTTACAGAGTCTTGTGGACCCTTAAAAAATACACTGTTATTGATGGTGTTCATATAGGCTGCCCCAAATTATAGGTATATATATGGATATATATAGTGAGCCCTCAAAAGTCGCGCCCTCAAAAGGCGCCCACTTTATCAAAGATGGTGCCATAAAGGCGTTGCCAGTTTGTCGGGCGTCCAAAGTGCGCGCGATCGCGTGGCAGGGCCCGGCTATAAGACAGAGGCTGAGCTGAGGCCAAAAAAAAAAAAACCTGCGAGAGATATTCTGAGAGAGATTATCTGAGGGAGGGAAGGGGGGGGGGAATTCTGATAACACTCTGGTTGCCTAGAAAAAATGGCTCATCGTCTCTCCCCGCGGGCTGCTCACTCTCTTTCCCCGATCCTCAACGAGTCAACGAGAGAGAAACTGTCTGGTGGCACTTTGGAAAACTCAACCATATTGCGCCCCGGAGTTGCTCCGATTGAACTTTCCGATGCGGTCTGGTTGTGAGCAGAATGGCAGTGCAGTCGATTGTGGAGTGCCAATCAGTATACTTTGAAGGCATGTGTTGGAAAGCATGACGGCGGTCACAAACCTATCTAACCGTGCTGCAGAAGTAGGAACAAAATGAGTGTGCAGGCATTTAAACTTCCCAGTGGCTCGTGCTTCCAAAGCATGTTAGGATGCGCGAGCAGAATAAGTGCTGCTAAGGCAAAAAACAAGGAGCTGAAGCGGAAGGCCCACCGTTTATGTTACCGTTTGGAAGGCCGCCATTAGCTGTAGTGGGAGGAGCACGGAGGAGGCACTTGTTTGGTAGGTCTAGGAAGCATTTGGGGCTGGGCAGTCACCAGGGACAATCAAGGAAAAGCAAAGAAGAAGAGACCCGCAGGTTAGAGATAGAAGAAGAAATAAATCCAGGGGGTGTGGGTGTTTTGTTGTTTTGGTTTGGTTGTTTGGTTGGTGGTGTTTTTTTTTTTTTTTTTTTTGTTTTTTTTTTTTTGTGGTTTTTTTTTTTTTTTGATGTAAAATGGTGATCGGGGTGAGTCCGATGATGAATAAGCAAAGGTGTTGGGTTGGCAAACTCGAATGGTTAGGTTGTGGTAATGCAGAAAATTAACTGGAATGAAATTTTTTTTTGGTTTTTTTTTTTTTTTGCAATGGGTATCATGGAGTGGGCGGTGGTACAAAAATATTGTGAGAAAAAGAGGAGATGGTTGGAAAATTATTTGTTTAGACAGAGGGCAGACGGCATGTGAGGTGTAGTGGAGGACAAAATAAAAGAAAAAAAGGTGAGAGATGTTGATGATTTCTGTCCCTTCGCACAAAACTAGCTACCACTAAAGATGTTGTGGCTGCAAAGCCTGAAAAAACTCAATGCATCAGTCGGTTATGGCGAGACAATTGGCGTGTGGGACAGGAGGAACGCTTTTTCTTTGGGGCCTTTGGGGAAAAAGGGGAGTTTCCATGCTAAACACAGCAAGATTCTGTTTATGGACGAAGCAACGGCTTCATGTCGACTCCCAGACCGATGCTGTCATTCAAAAACCATTCTCGCAGGACTTTTGTCGTTTACTAATAATTCAGCATAGCTCACAGTAAATACCCACAGTTTATGGACTGTGACAAAGTGATGGTTATGGGAGCTGGTGGGGCAAGGGATATGAAGCCCCATCTCGTTGCTCGAGAGGCCTTCGTTATTAGCCCCAGCAATACTCAGATTACTATGCAGTTTAGAGGCCATGAAGGTGTACCAAACACCATTCAGGAGGGAAGAATAAGAGGGTCATGAAGAGCTTGATCAGAGCAGTTTGTCCATAGGAAGTCCATTGATGCATTTGGACAGAGACTTCACCAGTTATAGAGGTTGTCACAAGGCCATAGATGGACCGTAGAATGAAGCCCATCTAATGGGACAACAGTTTGTAAAGAAAGTTGGAAGAGCGAGGAAATGAAGGTATTTGTGAGCGAGAGAGAGTGTCCAGCGGGCAGCGAAGGCAAGGTTGCCGGCGGCTTTTATTTTGGCCCGCCCGGTGAGAAAACAAAATACGGGCCTAAATTTATGGCTCTGATACCATGTAGAAATTTAATGCTTATTAAAGGAGAATTAAAGAATGTATTATTGATTCATGTATTGATGTGTTGTGTTTATATTACAATGATTCATGATTCCTATATATAGAAGAGGGTAAGTGTGTAGTAGGTAAGAAGTAGGTGAAGTGGAGGTGGTAGTGGTGTAGTGGGTAGTTTAGTGGAGTAGGTGAGGTGGTTAGTGGTGTAGTGGGTTTAGGTTTAGTGGAGTAGGTTTAAGTGGGTGTAGTGTGTTAGGTTTAGTGGAGTAGGTTTAGGTGGGTGAAGTAGGTGATAAATTTTAGTGGAGTAGGTTTAGTGGGTTAGGTTTAGTGGAGTAGGTTTAGTGGGTTAGGTTTAGTGGAGTAGGTTTAGGTGGGTGAAGTAGGTGATAAATTTTAACAGGAAGCTGTCACCAAAGCTAGGTTGATGTATTTTTTGCTGTATTCTTTCTTCTTCTTCTTCTTCACTCCAGAAATTTTTTTCTTTTTGTTTTTTTTTTTTGCAGTTTTATTTTCCTTCTTGCCATCTACTTTTATATTACATGGGAATAAGTGAAGACATGATATCTCCAAAATCTGAAAAACCATGTCCAAAATCAGAAAAAGCATCTCCACCTAAACAGGTTATGTGTTCTTGATATGTTTTTGTTGTGGGATTATATGTCTTTATCAACAACAAATGAATGATTTTTCTCCTTTTTGTTAAATGTATGTACAAATAGTTTATGAATTATGATTGTAATAAGCAAACAGTACTACTATTTATGTACACTTTAATCCAACATAGATACATGGATGTGTGCCTGCATGAGAGACAGAGGTCTATTGCATTATTTCTTTGGCGGATTAACTCTTGGAGTTCAAGATCTGAAATTGGACCACCTATTGGCATTGGCAGGACCAGACAAACATTCATCTCTATCCCGACTGGGCAACTATTCAAGTTATTCCCTTTATGGAGCATCTTCCTTTCTTGCACGGCAATTACTTTAGTTGAACCTTAGGTTCAGAAAATTTTGTTTTTGCCAATTTTCTTAATTTACTAGCAATTTAATAATTTGATTCACTTTCAGGCATATTATGGGCCTGGAGTACCCATACCACCATCATATTTGAACTCTGCAACCATGGCTTGTCATGTTCCTCATCCTCATGTGTGGGCACCACCACAGGTACTCTGGAGTTATCTGAGTTTTTATAGTCATCTTCTGCACATGGCATTTCTGTATGCCTAGCTTGGAGCTGTGTTCCAAATGCAATATTTGTTGAACTCATTCTCTATTTGACATATAACTATTGCAGCATGTGATGCCACCATATGGGGTGCCTTACTCTGCCATCTATTCTCCTGGAGTTGTTTGTACTCATCCTACAGTTCCTATTGTACGTCATGCTTTTCCTTTAGAACTTCGGTTCCCCACTTGCAAACTTCTGTTTGTAGGTTGTTTTAAATCCGAGTGAATTGTAAACACGAAATAGTTCCAGAGTACCTTCTCTACTTTATAGAAGCAAGAAACTTATACCATTCAAAATTCATCAACAACTATGATTGGTGCGACTTAGTTTCCAACGATTGTTGAAATTTTTTTACTTTTCAAACTATTAGTGCGATGACACTTACATCACCACATTGCATCCCTCTTCCTCTTGCTGATATGGGAAACAGTTCCTCTAGTCAGATTCATCCTTTAAAGTAGCCTGTTCTGTTGCAGAAATTTTTTACTCCATGCTTGCAATATTCCCAATATCCATTAATCTGTCCATAAAATCTTTAGAGGTGAAATCTGCACAACATTCTCGTAGCTTAGAAGTGTGATGATTTATGAATTTTTTGGGCTAGAATAATTAACTTGAAGTAGCAGTTTGCTCTACAGCCATAAAGTCTTACTTCGGAGACTGTCATGCAGATTGCAACTCCTGTGAGTGCACAAATGCTTTCTACTTCGTCATACAACATGGATCAAGGCTCAATAAAGAAGCTGAAAAGATTGGACGGAGTTACTAAGCAAGTAGTCAATGACAATGCTGAGGTTGATGGTGAAGGATCAGCCCATAGAGCATCACAGAGGTCTGTTAAACCAATGTTGCTTTTCTGTTTGCTTAATTATTTCCTGGGAGCAAACTAGGTGAGGCAGATAAGTTTGCTTCCAGTGCCCTTGGTGCATGAGTTGAAATCATGCTCCATTTAATGCTTTAAGTTAGTATCTCAGTTGGACGAGTCCTGTTTTAATCATTGCTCTGTTGGATCTAACCTGGACATCTGGATCTGACATGTGCATGGTAGAATGCAGTATTGATGTTTCCAGTGATGCAAGTGATTGTAACACACGAGTAAGGATTCTGTCTTATTTTATATTTTAAGTTCTTTTTGTCATTGGGCTTTGTTTGATATGAGGGAACATTAGGAGGAGGACAGTGGGAAGGATAAAGGAGTATTGTTAGTTTTGTAGAAACTGAAGGGGAAGGAAAAAGGAAAACTTGAAGGTGAGCAAGTCTATCCTGGCTACCATTTTTCATTTTACCTAGAAGTGGAAGGAGAGGAACAAATGAGAAGATTATCTCTTACTTTTTTGTTTTTTGTCATTCAAAAACCATGTTATCAATATTTGACATTATGATGGTAAAATGAACGAACATCCCTAAGCTTTCCCTTTCCTTTCCTTAATGCGCAATGAAATAAATGAAGCGAACGGAGATAGTTTCCTCCATTTAGCGGGAAGGGGAAATGGGAAGGGGAAGGGAAAGGAGTAGTGAAGTGTAGACAAATCTCTAGTGTCTCACCATTTTCAATCTGCCCAAAAGTGAGTAGAGATGAAGAAAGAAGGATGTGTTTTACTTTCATATCATTGCCATACAAAC